CATTGTCTTCTTAAGAATAATTTGTAAATAATAAACAGAGATTGATTTCATTACAAATCGTATTTCATTGTTCTCTTGAGAATAATTTGTGTGAACGTTTCTATGTTATTGAACACATAGCATTTATTGACTTTTTTTTTAATTGGAAGCATCTGTAATGTAGACGCTAGATGCTTGCATGCGAATCTAAATGTCGTGAGTTAAAATCCAGGCAAAGCTGAAATTTTTTTTTTTTTTTTAAAAAATGACTTTGGTTAATAGATAGGATGTTTGACCATAGTGTCGAAGGATCATGTATGTGGTCTACGTCAGATATTCCTACGTGGAGACGTTATTTTATCACATTTGATGTCATCGCACATTGGGTGTTCCCTTGCAATTTAGTTATCCTATGCAGCAGCCAGTACAATGAACAACACCTGACTGTTCCCATGACCAGTTAGATACACTGTGTCCTGTTTTAACCTAACCGTAATGTTTCACCAGGCCTCACCAATTAAGTCCGTAGAACGTTAATGATATCAGTTCTGTCCATGCATCTTTCAGCATTCAGTGGAGCAGCATTGGCCAGTTGATCCACTCTTTTATTACCCGTTTCTCCAGATTTCACAGATGTCCAGGTCTCGGTGAGGGATGTCAACTGCGACTTCAGAGCTGTCTGGTCTTTTGGTGCAGAGTGTGCCAGTTGCTATTTTCTGAAGCGTGTTCATGGAGTCTTAAACGATTATCGTGGGACTGGCAGATTGTTGGACAGCTTCTGTTGTGGAATATTTGTGAAAGCATTGACTGTTCATGTAACCGACACTTCATCCTGTATGCAAATGGCGATCGCGGTCTGTCTGTCTGTATACTTTGACTGTCTGTTCGTCTGTCTGTGTGTATGTGTGTCCTCATAAGCGAGGCTAAACATGATTACCTCTTGATCTCATCGCCTGACAGCACGCGGTCTCGATTGCTGTCCAGCAGGTGGAATCTTCCCTGACTGGTCAGTAGATTTGAAGGCCTGGATCTGACACCAAGCATTGCACATAATTCGTTTCTATACGCTAGAGACAAAGATAACAGAAGCCACAATCAAAACTTCGTAAAACGTATGTATACCCTAGAGACAAAGACAACACCAGCCCCAATCAACTTCGTAGACGCATGTATACACTAGAGACAAAGATCACCAGCCACAGTCAACTTCGTAAACGTGTGTATATTATGGAGACAAAGATAGTACCAGCCACAATGAACTTTATACACGCATTTATGCCCTGGAGACAAAGATAACACCAGTCACAGTCAACTTCATAAACACGTGTACACACTAGAGACAAAGAGACACACTAGAGACACCAGTTACAGTCTACTTTCTTAAGATGTGTATACCCTAGCGTCAAAGATAACACCAGCCACATGCATCTTTATAAACGTGTGTTTACCCTCGATACAAAGATGACACCAGCAACAGTCAACTTTATAAACGTGTGTTTACCCTGGAGACAAAGATAGCACCAGCTATAGTCAACTTTATAAACATGAGTATATCTGAGAGACAAAGATAAAACTAGCCACAGTCAACTTTATAAAAGTGTGTATATCCTTCAGACATAGATAACACCAGCCACAATAAACGTTAGAGGCTTATGTAAACTCTGGAAACAAAGATAACACCAGCCACACTCAACTTTATAAACGCGCGTTTACCTTGGACAACAATTACACAAGCTGTAATAAACGTTAGGGGCTTGTGTAAACTCTGAAGATAATTTTAACATTATCCACAATAAAGTGCTGAAGCTTATGCAACATGAATGTCATGTTTGTGGATGAAACTTCTACGATTGTGTGGACCTGGAAGCACCTGGAGTTTGTAGAATTCTGACATGATGTTCTCGCATATAGACAGCGAAGAGACTGGAATTTAATAGCTCAAGAGTTACAGGTGACAGTAGATAAGGTATATGACTGGTGGACTGAGGTGAGCGCTGTGACCAACCCAAAAAAAATTAACCGTCTTGTGGTGTTCTTTGGACAACAGGATTCTTAGAGCTGATGTTGCAAGCCTCAAAAACAATGACAGGAACATTAAAAGAGAAAGCAGACTGCGGTACGTGGGAATCAATTTTGACACTTTGATCACATAGAGGAGGTTGTGACAAAAGCCCAGAAAGGTTTTAATGCACAAAAGATCATTGTAGCAATGGACATGAAGCAGAGAATGCTGTGCACACTTTACCAGAACCTAATCATCTCATCGATTGATTATGGACTGGGGTACGCGTATACAGAACGAAGCTATGCAGGTGATCCTGTGATGAACAAGAGACACCCTAATTGTGCTAAAAGGGCTGCAGGCTAACACATACTTCAGTGTATCTGCAACGAACACCATCTATATGAAGCTTTGGATGCAGTTAAGAGTCAGAGGGTGAAAATAGGAAATTCGTGGATGGCTGAAGCAGAGGACACAATAAGATAAGTATACGTTCTGAAAAATATTCGACGAGTAGACTAGTGGGTTAAAGTACTAGAGGAAAAGATTGACCTGTGTAGAGTTATGATCACATTAAGCTGGGAGTGCAAAGAGTGACCAGCGGGTGATACAGAGAAGGAAGTCCAAAAGTTGATTCACGACAATTCTCGCCAAGATTATCTGATTATCTATACAGTTGGCTCTGTGATGAGAGGGAAGAAAAGTGTCTGAGGTTTCGCAGCGAAAGCCAATGGAAAATCTTTAGTTCAGCACTAACTTGCATATGATACCACGACATCTAGCATGAGAATAGAGATGGAGGTGGTAACTACAGCTTTCCGGTGGCTATAGAAAAAGATGCATACACGTCGTAATTATAACTGACTCTGAAAGCGTGCTGAGAAAGGTGAAGAAAGGGATGCTTCGAGCAGAGTGGCTAGCTTAAATGGTAAGGTCACGGGTGGGGAGCATTTTTGGATCGTTTCTCTAGGCTATGCTGGCGTGGTAGAGATTGAACATGCAGACAGATTGGCTGGATCTGAACTGCTGGGTGACAAATTGATATATGATAAGGCAGATGTGCTCAAAGCCCTTAGGGGGCAAGTAATGAAGTCAGAAGAGAAACTGGAATAGTATGGCCTGAGAAGAATGATGCACCTGGGTGTAACCAGAGGGTCTGGCCAGCTCACTGCACTCAGACGAAAAGCAAGATGGACATATAACCAGAATGCGACCTGTACAATTAGTACTGAAACTCTGCGCTGGCTGCTGAAGATAGGAACGGAGCGTATGGGAATGTCTCGAGTGATGTGATGCCAATTCATGACTCAACTCAACTTTACGATTATATCATTAGCTAGGCAGACTGTGATAGGCAATAATGTATGTCGGAGACCCATACACTCACCACACTAATAAATCATTGGAAACCGTGAAAGTTTTGCCCCGTTGAAAATTTTCTAAGATAGGATGCTCTAAGGACAGAGCTGATTCGTTTTCTTCTGTTCTCTACTCCTGGAATGCCTCGTGGCATCAGGAAAGGAAACGATCTCTAGAACGGGCCCTTCTGTTCGCTTTGTATCCAGAACTTTATAGTGTCTCTGATATTTCTGCGGTCCATCTTCTGTGTGGTCGACCGATTTCTCTGTAACCGTTGTATCTTTATAACAATGATCTCTTTGGTGCCCTGTCTGATACCAATTTTGTTACATGGACAAACCATTTGATTTGTTCTCGCCTATAAAGTTCACTATTGGTTCTGTGCCGACTCTCCGCCTGATATTCCTAAGTCTATCTTTCCCCCTTATACCTAGAATAGTACGTAAACATTTAACTTCTGTCGGGACTATTTTCCTTCTGTCTTCTAACGACAGTGCCCATGTTTGCCATTGATAGCATTACGTTGATGTTCATATTAATATGCTTGCATTTTAAAACGGATGCCATATGGCTTAAAACCTCATTTGATCTATTGCATCTTTGTTGGATTTCTTTATTAATTTTTCCATCTTTTAAAAAAAAGTACTCTTTGTTGATGTAAATTCGTGTGCCTGCTCTAACTGGTGTTCATCAATTTTGAAATTGGAGGTTCTTCCTTTTATGGAGAATATCGTAAATGTCTTTTTTTTTTTTTTTTTTTTTTTTTTGTGAGTTGATTTTCATATCATAGTTTTCGCATTTTCATTGGAGTCTTTTAATACGTTCTTGTAGTTATACTGCTGTTGGTGCTTTGATCAAGTGCGTGATAATTAGAGTTGGGATGTGTTCGCCATTTTGCGGACACATCCCCATAGATGGAGATGACAGTTTCAATTCGCCACATGGTAAATATAGCTTTAAAATTGTATGTTGTTTAGTGTGTTGTCTGATATCTCAGTTTCTTTCTATGAGTGCCGATTAGTACTTGCATATGTGTTTATTACCTCATCACAAAGACATCCGAGCGTCGGCAAAATGGCAGACACATGACAACCCTTGTAATAATACTGTGATAAATGAAAAATTAATGTAATGACTGAAAAATGTAGAACATATTAAAAGTTAAAGAGAAGTGGGGTCCTGGAACCCGGACAGAAAGCTAGCTGTTCAACTATAACATCAAGAAATTGTTGTCCCTCCCTACATAGGTGCTAGAACCTAGGCGTCTGGGCTCCTTTATTCCTGTTGCAACGAATATATCCCACTATATCCCCAATATCTTGATCGTTTTTTGACCTTTTGGCCCCACACATTCTATTTCAGCAGACCTACAATTAGTTGAATGTTACGACGTGCTTGTTAGAGAGCAGTCGAATATTATACACATACCCCAACATCCGTTTTTTTTTAAACCCTCCCTCAACCACTCCCCCAAACTAAGCGTCCAGTATGGCTCCGATACCCACACGGGGAAATATTTAGACAACTGTCGAAAAAGTAATGTAAGCAGCTGGACTTCAAGCCTTGAACATGTCTATGACAGAGAGAACTGGAGAATCCAAAAATGCACATGAAGACATATACCTTCACTGTCTTAATTACAACAACAACAAAAACGTACCGCTCAGGACTGGTTTATAAATGGGGAACGCTACACACTTGACTTCATTTGTTTTTGCATCAGTGAAGTGCTGGAGAAAATAAACACGCATACATTGCTGTCAAGATCACAATCAACATGATGGCCAACTTGTTTAGGTCATTCATAAACTGCGGAAGAAACATCAGAACATTGAAGCGTTGGAGAAAATAAACACACATACATTGAAGTCAAGATCACCATCAACCTGACGGCCACTTGTTGAGGGCATTCCTTTATTATACCGAACTGGGGCAATCACTGACAGATGAAACATCAGATCATTGGAGCGTACCACCAAGCAATCAAGGGATCTCTGGTTCGGCTACCTATCATGTGTTAAACTGCGACGCACAAATCAGACATTGACAAAACAACAAGTTGTATTGCCTATAACATTGGGACAAAGACACAGACGCCGACTAACATCTGTTGGAAGTGGAGATTTGGCCTTTAAGAAAATGCAAACAATATGAAAGAATGATACACATTTAGAAAAAAAAAAAACCTAAGAGATCTAATATCTGATAAATCTGTATACACATTAAACCCAAACACCTACAGAGCCCACAACTGTCTTAACTGTAGAGTACAATATAACAGAACGCAGTTAACCTCGAAAATCGAGGGTACTCCTGTCCGAAACAAAAGACGTGAGGGCTTTACAAATCACCTCTCACTTCTATTACGTTCCCATGAATAGCACTTGGCCCAAACCCTTGTCGTTTTCGTACGGCTCTTACTCTTGCCATTGAACTCAACACCAGTATCGAGTGGTGTCTGTCTGGTCCCTTCCAACATGACCGAGAACAAATCAAATCACAACAACTAATACAAACCAACCTTAGCTATCAGACTGACGATAATACCTAATCAGCTACCCACGTAACAAGCTTCACACAAAACCTGTCTCTGATACGCAGTATTACACACTATTACTGCTACGATCTAATGACGCATCGTCACAGAGTCTATCGGTCACTGTAGTCTACACCCAACATAATTATTACAATATAACGATCAAGTAATGACTACGTCGCTACCTTCGCCTTTCCTGGAAATAACTCCCCCGATTACTGGCTGTCAACTAGTTTTATTGCAGTCCACAGTTCAGTTGAGCTTTCTTGTGATACTCGTGACTTAGCAAACGAGACACTCAGTCGAGCATGAGTTCTCACTGTCATCTGTCCGTAGTAGTGAAATCCGATTCATGCCTGGATCAGCTAGGTGAAGACACGGACAACTCACTACCCTCATATTAACTGTCCCATACCCACACCAGACTAGCATCTTCGAAACAGATGACCACCGTAGACAGATTCGAGATATGGGGCGAAACAAGTCCATTTTGTTTTGACGTAAGAGGAGTATTCACGTTGAAACTGGGCATGAACTGAGCATCCAAACTGGTCGTAGTTTGTGCCCATTCTAACACTCATCTTTTAATCTGCAACTGCATTTTATCATTAATTCTTGTTATGTTCACAAAACAACATACATATTACAAGTATCAAGTAAAATACACACACACAAAAATGAATGGAAGATACATACAATCAGCTGTACAATAATACCAAACACGCACACACTGATAGATACATACAAACACACATACATACATACATATACACGCCTACAAACATGTACATATGCATACACGCATACATATATACGACACACATACACATCACACATGAGACAAAGAGTAGAAAGATAGATAGATAGATAGATAGATAGATAGATAGATAGATAGATAGATAGATAGATAGATAGATAGATAGATAGATAGATAGATAGATAGATAGATAGATAGATAGATAGATAGATAGATAGATAGATAGATAGGTAGATAGATAGATAGATAGATAGATAGATAGATAGATAGATAGATAGATAGATAGATAGATAGATAGATAGATAGATAGATAGATAGATAGATAGATAGATAGATAGATAGATAGATAGATAGATAGATAGATAGATAGATAGATAGATAGATAGATAGATAGATAGATAGATAGATAGATAGATAGATAGATAGATAGATAGATAGAGATAGATAGATAGATAGATAGATAGATAGATAGATAGATAGATAGATAGATAGATAGATAGATAGATAGATAGATAGATAGATAGATAGATAGATAGATAGATAGATAGATAGATAGATAGATAGATAGATAGATAGATAGATAGATAGATAGATAGATAGATAGATAGATAGATAGATAGATAGATAGATAGATAGATAGATAGATAGATAGATAGATAGATGGATAGATAGATAGATAGATAGATAGATAGATGGGTAGATAGATAGATAGATAGATAGATAGATAGATAGATAGATAGATAGATAGATAGATAGATAGATAGATAGAGATAGATAGATAGATAGATAGATAGATAGATAGATAGATAGATAGATAGATAGATAGATAGATAGATAGATAGATAGATAGATAGATAGATAGATAGATAGATAGATAGATAGATAGATAGATAGATAGATAGATAGATAGATAGATAGATAGACAGATAGATAGATAGACAGATAGATAGATAGACAGATAGATAGATAGACAGATAGATAGATAGATAGATAGATAGATAGATAGATAGATAGATAGATAGATAGATAGATAGATAGATAGATAGATAGATAGATAGATAGATAGATAGATAGATAGATAGATAGATAGATAGATAGATAGATAGATAGATAGATAGATAGATAGATAGATAGATAGATAGATAGATAGATAGATAGATAGATAGATAGATAGATAGATAGATAGATAGATAGATAGATAGATAGATAGATAGATAGATAGATAGATAGATAGATAGATAGATAGATAGATAGATAGATAGATAGATAGATAGATAGATAGATAGATAGATAGATAGATAGATAGATAGATTAGACAGACAGAGATAAAGAGAAAAAGAGAGAGACAGAAAGATAGATGGACGGATAAATGGATGGATAGACGGAATTATGGACGGATATATTAGATAGATAGGTCGATTACATACTACATATCAAGCTATGGAAGTGGTACATTTTGTTTTCTTACCTTCAGAATGTTCATGTATTCCCCAAAATCGACTTGATTATTTTTATTTTGATCAAATACGTATAACACTATTGTCACAAAATCATTGACTTTCGCAGCTAAGCTGACAGCAGGCATTAGGACGAGAAGAGCGTAGATCAGCATGATAGATGGAGACGTCACGTCGACCTGTGCTCAAATCGGTTTCAATTAATAAAACACAAGTAAGTACAGTAATCAAACAAGGAGAATTGACAGAGACGAAAAACTGTTCGAATTAATTATGTAATGCTGTGTCGGTTAAAATATTTCTGCGCTCTTCAAACGTAAAATTGTATTTTTCGACTACGACCTACGATTTTATATTTAACTAGCTGTACCCGGCCATGCGTTGCTGTGGCCCAGAATGGTGAAATGGAGAGGAAAGAAAATAGCTCTCAGCTAACAGTGTCTGTCTCCATCTCCCCTCGACGTAGTCATATTTCCCTTTCCAAAGGATTGAAAAATCATCCATGACAAAATTATTAAAATAGATATAGTTAAGAAATAAGAACTTTTGAATAATTCTTTAAGCTCTATCAGCTAACTGTGTTTGGCACAATGCCCCCCCCCCCCCTTTCCACTAATCATATTTCTCTCTCCATAGGATTGAAAAAGCATCACCTGGTGAAATTATTAAAATACAAAGAGTTGAGAAATGAGAACTTTCAAATAATATTTTAAGCTCTTTCAGCTAACTGTGTCTGGCATAACCCCCCTCCCACTCAACCAATCATATCATCTTCTCCGAAGGATCGGAAAGTCACCGTGTAACGAAATATTGTAACTAAATTGAGCTTTGCATCCTTGTCCACCACTTAAATAGGTTCATTAACTTGTACAGAGAAGTAAATGTAGCCAGTGTAACAGTTACCACATCACCCATTCAGTACCAGTACTACTGCAACCACAACCATCACCGCCATCACAACAACAACAAAAACTGTCACTACAGTCTGTGTAGGTCGGTGTAGAAAAGAGGAGTTAACGCCGCATGCTGTCGCCACGGACTATTTAGTTTGATTTTTCCCCGGACATAGGAAAAAAAACACACTTCATCATGTAACCAGTGTTGGAACCCAAAGTTAAAAGTATACTATACTCACGAATAGTGGAGAAAAAAAACCCGCACCCGTCATCTCTCCCTCTCCGAACGATAAGGCAAAGTTCAATAAGAGCTCAGTAGTCAAATATGGCCGATCACATAAAAACAAATCCGGGCCGGCCACGAAACAAATTATGATTTGACCGTTGCTGGTGCTACGTCGTTCGTGGTTTGTGCGATTTTCTGACAAAAAATCAGGCTTGGAGTCAAAGGCCACGTTGTGTGCAAATTTGAAAGCAATCGGTTCAGTAGTTTCCGAGTCTTTAGCTTACAACATCGGAAAATTAACATTGTTAAAAATATATATATATATATAAAAACTGTTTTCCTCATTCAAAGGTGTACTTTTAAAAGTATACACAACGCTTTGAATAATAACTATTCATTTTTGAGTGTTTTGATTTGTATAATGCGCTGTGTAATATAATTGTATCTTTATCGTCATCATCATCATCATCATAATCATAATCATCATCATCCGCACATCAATTTCCTTTTCTGTCTTTAAGCGTTGTAGGGAGGAATAGTTTACGATCCTTTGCTAGATGGTTAGCAATCGATATTTACATTCCATGTCCATGTAGAAACTCCTTAATGGCATCAGTTTGCGCTCCTAGGGCAACCTCTTGCTTTCACTTCAGAAAGTTCCATGTGAAGCGCTAGCGTTACTAGTTGTTCTGGCTGCATTCTTACAAGACGACCAAACCATTTTATCTACTGTTTCTTATAGAATTAATTGCATGGTGTTGTTCCAACAGTCTGTCTCAAAATATCATTTCTAACTTTGTCTTGGATGGTTAAGTTGGCGGCTTTTTTCAGGCATCTTATTTCACGGGTGTTGATTTTACGTAATTTAGCCCTTTTAAAAACAATTTTATAATGCACCTTAATAACATGTTTTTTATTCGACTCAACCTGTCACAGGTCACAATCATAATAAATTTGATTTGGTTGATATATGTGCATATATTTACTTATAGATACACGAGCTAAACTAATTATCCTTGCTAATATGCATCTACAATTTTATAAGAATTTTTTTTTATCTTTTCAGTGCATAGTTTTTTTTAATCCAAGTTAAGTAGCAAAACCTTATAGTTTAAATTTTTTCTTGTTTAAATGTTTAGTGTTTTTTCAATTTTTTTCAATGTTTTTTTTTTTTTTTTTAACGAAATTCAACTCTGAGAATTGCTGAAATTAGCATGCAAACTTTGTTCATCAAAGTATGTGGAGCAGGGGTTGGACTTGGGTGATCACAATGTCTTAAGCTGAACACTGGGCATTCCACTAACAATTTATTGCCAGGCATATTTCGTTGTATCTCACCAGGTGCGTTACTACAGAGTTACATAAACATAAAATGAAGCAAAAAACTGAATAAATCCAACTGTAATGCGAATAGTTTCTTCCGACACATCGAGTGTGTTTTTTGGCCCCTGGAAGCTCGCCGTAGTCACGTAGACTTACCAGTGTAACTTCATATTTACAATAAATTCCGTCTGCTTAAAAAGGAGTGCGTTGTTGATTTTAATTGTTAAAGCTTTGGCCATTCTCTAACGATTCGAGCTAAATACGGGCAATTCCACTAACAAATCGAGCTGAACATGGGACGTTCCAAAACAATTTAAGCTGGAAACGGAACATTCCACCCACAATTTTGACTGAAAGCGGGATATTCCACTAAACATTTAAGTTAAAAGTGAAAATCGATCAATTTGTCTTTTCGGGGAATTAACATAACAACCTGAAATTACTTATTACCAATCTGGATGGCAGAACAGTAAGGCAAGTCTCAGATGCCACGTTCGATCGTTTTGTTTTTGTTTTGAAATCTGCCTCCTTTAAATTTGCATTCGAAAGGATTAACATCTCTACGGTGACAATCAGACAAAAACAAAACATAAAACCAACTCACGCAGTGATACTGAGGCACCACAAAACATAGAACCCATTCGAGCAGTGATACTGAGGAAACACAAAGCATGGAACCCACTCACGCAGTGATACTGAGGCACCACAAAACATAGAACCCATTCGAGCAGTGATACTGAGGCACCACGACACATAGAACCCACTCACGCAGTGATACTGAGGTACCGCAAAACATAGAACCCACTCACGCAGTTATGCTTAGGCAGCACAATACGGTTACTAAATAACCTTATTACGAAGTGACTGTCTGTTGACCTGTCCTGTTGTGAGTACATTTGAAGTGGCTATCTGTTGACCTGTCCAGTTGTGACTGAATATTAGCAGTAGTAGTACCATTTACCTTAATAGGACATTAAACAAGCGATAAACACTCGATGACACAAAGTGCAACCATGTGGATGACGATCACCAATGGAGAGATCAGGAAACCCCGTTAAGCCATTAGACCTATTTATGGTCGGGCTATATTGCGGCCCCTGGCAAGAGCAGCCAGTGTAGGGTTCAAAATAATGAAAAATTGTATCCTACAAGGAGATGTCTAATAACTGAATATAAAATGGCTATCTAGTAGTAGTAGCACTTTTACCAATCCAGGACATCACACAAGCGATAAACACCCTATGACACAAAGTGCTGCCATGCGAATGAGGATCACCCGTGGAGAGGTCCCGGAAACCACGTTCAGCCATTAGGCCATATTTATTGCCGGGCTTTATTACGGCCCCTGGCAAGAGCCAGAGTGGGGCTTCAAAATAATGAAAAAGTACATCTCACAAGAGGATGACTAGTTCCTATCTATTGACTAGTGGCAGGTAGAGCTGCAAAACAGAAAGAAACCAAAACTACCCCACTGAGGTCAATTCTATCCAAAAGAAAAAAAAATACTAACTTACCTTTGTATGCAGGAAAACAGAGACTGTATGTGCAAAAAAAAAATCCTCAGATTTACTCATAATGTGATTCATAAAGTTACTCATAATGTGATTCAGTTAAATATAATGAAATGAGAAGGCATACATAATTGTTGGTGATTAAAAGATACAAATGGTCTCCCTTCAATAACAAGTTGTCACCCCTTAAACTTGTGAGTAACTTTGAATTATAGGGGCCATAAATTAGCACCTAATGAGACTGTTCCGTTCTGTCAAGTCGCCAGCATACATAAATGCCTTTAGAATCCAGTAATTCATCATGAGATTATTAATTTGGTAGTCAGTCTCGGCTGTAATAAAAAAACATACATTGATAATTGGTCTATTTTAGTAAACTCCAGCTGTTGAAATATTATACGGTTGTAAGTCAATGACCTTTCTCGGGTCATTTTCGCACCAGGAGAAGAGTGATATACCAAACTGTTTGTGCAATAAAAAATATTCGACTCAACTGATTAGGGCTTTGAAAAAGTCTACGTGGCTAAATAGGTTAGGCGTTTGTAAAGTGTACTCAAGACTTCTTGTTCGTTCCCAGATACCCGTCGTTGTATTCACGGGTGAGTGTTAGTTAATGAGATGCTGGTCTAACGTCATTAGTTTAATTCAGGGCTATTTAACTAAGTTTACTCAGAGGTAATCATTTTTGAACATTTTTGCGGGTCCGAAGATCGAGCCTGAGCTAGAAAGATCCATACACAAAAATATTCCCCTAGTTAAGACTAAAAACCACACACACAAATTAGACATTGTCGTTGGGACAAATAACCACACAAACAAGTTAGACTTTGTTGTTGACACAAACAACCACACATAGTAATTAGAAATTGTCCTTAAGACTAACAACCACATAGACATCTTGGACATTGTTGATGAGACCAATAACCACGCAGAAAAGTTAGACATTGTCGTTGGGATCAACTACCACACAGACAAGTTAGACGTTGTCGTTGAGACCAACTACCACACAGACAAGTTAGACAGTGTCGTTGGGATCAACTACCACACAGACAAGTTAGACGTTGTCGTTGAGACCAACTACCACACAGACAAGTTAGACATTGTCGTTGAGACCAACTACCACACAGACAAGTTAGACGTTGTCGTTGAGACCAACTACCACACAGACAAGTTAGACATTGTCGTTGAGACCAACTACCACACAGACAAGTTAGACGTTGTCG